CTTCCTTCCTTCCTTCCTTCCTTCCTTCCTTCCTTCCTTCCTTCCTTCCTTCCTTCCTTCCTTCTCTGCTACTCCCCCCTCCCCACACAAGCTCCTAGATCTGTATCAAAAACAATTTACCTCTAAGTTGGCATGAGCTTTCTCAAGTAAAGCCCGGGCAGAAACTAAAATCACATCGCACAGAATCTGTAGCTCCAATTTTTCTTTTGCTGAAAAGTTATCTGAGCGAATGAGGAGAGAGTGGAAATGCATCCCAACCGAGTCAGGCTTATCCTCCACAAGGATATGGGCACTCCCTCTTTACGCTGGAGCCGCTGCTAGCTCTGTATCTCTATCTGTGCCAAATTTCAGCAAAAGACATCGCATGGCTTCAGAAAAGAGGAGGAGAAAGGCAGACGCTCAGCACGGGCGTACCGAGGGTTCTTGACTCAGCATGCCTTGTTGTACACAAGATAAAATGGAATATTTAACATCACATTAGCTTGTTTTCCCCTGTGATCGGGATGGTGTTGCTAGATGAGAACCCTTCAAATCTCAGGCATATCCGGACGATGGGAAGGACAGTCCCCTTAGCGCAGGGAATTTTGTGGGTACATTTCTGCCCAGTTCAGAGCGGGGAGCCCGGGCACTGCTGTGGCGAGCGGGACATTGGCCCTCCTGCAGCGGGGAGGCCGCAAAGGGCCATGCGGGGCTGGCGAGCAGCCACATGAGGGACCAGGCCTGTCTGGCGCCGCGGGGTCCCCATGCGAACGAGGAGATGCCGAGGGGCAGCCCCGGCCCCTCTTGTGTGGCTGGGGAGGGGGGGGATCGGGGCCCGGGGGGGCGCGAAGCGGCAGGGCCAGCTGCAGATGGAGGCGGGTCGGGGGCCAGGTCAAGGTTGGCGAGAGGCTGCTATTGATCCGGCTTTGAACGCGAGACAGGGAGAGCGGAGAGACTAAAGGGGGAGCTGTGAGACAAGACATTAACAGCTTTCGGTGCTAATGATCACAAGTGCCAGACAGGGGAGGAAAGAGGAGACTGAGAAATCACTTTGGAATTTTTTTTTTCCCCTTCCCTATTGGGATGTGTTTTCGGGGGAGGGGGAGGCGGGCGGGGAACTCGCCCCCCGCAGCCCAGCCCGCAGCCACCGGGGGACGGGGCCGGCCCGGAGAGGCCCCTCCGCCGCCGCCGGGTCAATCATTGATCGCCCTTATCTCGGGCTCCCAGTGCGCGCTGGAAGACACTGGTTAATCAGCAGATGATGCCCAGGACGATCCCGATAAGCCGTGCTCCGGAGGGGCGCAGCTTCCTGGAGCTCCTTGCCACACGGCCCGCGACCACCGGACTTTGTCCCCGCCACCGAGGGCGCAGAGCGACCCCCAGGACCCCCCTCCAGCGCAGCCCCGGGGCAGCCCCGGCCCCTCCCGAACCCCCGCACGCCGCTGCCGGCCCCGCTGGGCCGGACCGGGCCGGGCCACGCGCCGCACTGTCCCCCGCACTGTCCCTGCGCCCGCGGCGCCGACGCCCGGTCCGCTGCTGACACCGGCCTCCTTTCTCTCCATAGGACCGGGTGCCACCACCCAAACAAACACGGCGAAGGACCTAAACAAGCTCAAGCGCTGCTAAACGCCGTTCTCGTGTTTGCCGCGCGCTCGTGCGGGCGCCGGGCTGGGCCGGGGTCTCCGCCAGGCTGGCTCGGAGCGCCGCGGCAGCCCCGGGCCACGGTGACGGGCTTGGGGTGCGGGTCTGGGCCGGTTCCGGAGGTCCGGGGGCTGGTAGAGCCGAACCGCGAGGTTCGTGTGTGTGTGTGCGCGTACAGGCACAGACAGATTTGCTGGAGGAGGCGAGAGTGTTGCTGTTTAGCCAAATTCTACTCAAAGCTGATTAAGGGCACCGAGATGAATTCTGGTCCCCTAAGGCTCTCATGCAATTTAATAGAAATATATATATATATATATTCATTTAACGTAGAAAATAAATGACACTACTGCAGAGCGGCTCCGTGCCCCGGGTGCAGGCTGCGTTTCTTGGGTTTCTCTTCCATCTGCCTTCACATCCCCCCCAACCCTCCCCCTCTCTATTTCCCTCGCCCTGTCCAGAGCTGGTGCTGAAAAGCACTGGGCACGAAACTATTTATTGGAAAGAGAGAAAGAGAAAAAAAAAATACAAGGAGATGGGGCTGGGAAAGCGGAGGCAGAGGGGGGAAAAAAAGTTGGTTTGCGAAAAGCTCCCAAGTTAGAAGCGCACGCGGCTGTGGGCATCTACCTGCGTGTGAAATGGGAGGAAAAGTGCGCGGAGATTCCCCGCGCGCCCTGCGGCGCCCGGCTCGTGACTGAGACCGATTCCTCCCTGCACATCCATCCCCACGGCCAGGCGTTTTAACGGGGAGGGGGGAAGAAGAAGGTCGGAGGGGGCTGCGTGTATCCAGCAACAATCACATTTCCAGGGGGGGGGGGGGGGAGAACACATCCCAGCCCAAAACAATTTGTGCTGCTGTAAAACTATTCGAAAGAAGCCAAGCGGGGATCGTGGAGCCGCCGGGGAGCCGAAAGCTCCGAGCAGCCCGAGCGCCCCCGGCTCTCCCGCGAGGCCAGAGCCGGGGCTGGAGTCAGAGCCGGGGCCGGGGTCGGAGCCGGGGCCGGTGCCTAAGTCAGAGCCGAGGCTGGAGTCAGAGCCGGGGTCCGAGTCAGAGCCGGGGTCGGGGCCGGAGCCCCGGCTCCGGCTCGTGGGAAGTTTCTCCTT